AAAACCAAAGAATATTTTGTAAATAGTTAAAAGTGATAAATTATAGTGATAAATGCAAAAACTAAATTGTAATCTCAATATAACTAAAATATTTTCTAAATATATTTTTATACTCGTTAAAAGTTTCCAAATAAGTAGTTTAAAATAACTTACAGTGAGAATAGTTAAAAATAAATCTATATAAATGGTTATATTGTTACATTTAAAATCAAAAAATAATATTTGATGTTCTAAATAATTATAATGATAGAATTAAAACATCAAGCAAATAAATTTTAAAAAGTTAATTAACAATACCAACAACTATAAATAACATTAAACCATATATTATATTTAATTTTATTCATGTATAATTCACAGGTAAAAGTCATTTAAAAGCTTGAGATTATGAAGTTTTAATAGATATGTATATTATCATATAATTATAAATAATCAATTTATTATATCAACTTAGTATAAAAATTATTATATCAAATTTAACAACAACGTTATTGTTATATTTAAAAAACGTATATTTGTAAAAACTTTAACTATATAGGTGTTTCTACGCAACGCGCGAGCATTCGTTTAGTAAGAAATAAAAACCTGGTGAAAGTGTAAAAAAAAAAAAAATTAAACATTTGGATGAAAATAAACAATAGCCGAGATTAAATAGGATGTTAGACGGTTACACGTAACAATAATTGACTTCTTACAATTTACAATTGTGACTTGTAAGATGATTTTCATTAAACGGTATTTTTTACTTCTCACCAATTTTATATAAGAAACATCATTAAAGTCCTATTATTTAACCTTAATTTAAGAATAAGTCATAAATCAAGATTTGCTTGCGAAAGAATATGAATTACCGGAAAAAATGATGATTTGGTCATTTTTTCTTTGTTTTCCGGTTTTATTGCTGAACTTGACGCATTAAAGTCTCATTATTTCACCAATAACTCCCAAAATAAAACTTTGTTTAAGAAAAAACATGAATTACTTAGATTTGACTTTTTTTCCTGTAACACAAATTTTTAACAGTTTTATTGATGACCTGGACGCCTAATCATTAAATGAGTTTATGAGAGGGATGTGATGGCTTATATAATGATATGTTTGTCGTAATTTTGATATACATATCATCAGCTCATTTAATGACTAGGCTTCTAGGGCAGCAATGAAACTGATAAAATTTCTGTTATCGGGGAAAAATGAATGAAATGAACTGATTAAATGGATATCCTAGGTTACATAAAACTAGATATACAATTTAAAATTTCTTATAAACTATAAAAATGTTAAGTTATTGCTAGTTTATATAATTATTATAGTCTTCGTTGGATGTATTTCAAATTCCAAAAAATATACAATGCAACAGGAAACCTACAAATGTAGCATTATATAACTCAATATATTTATCTCATTAGATCATTCAATAACTAGACATCTATATTAGGAGTGAAGCCGATAAATTGTGTGTTATAGAAAGAAAATGGCCAGATAATAATATTTACCAGTAATTTATGTTTTTTCATAAACATATTTTAGTTTGGAGCTTATTAGTAAATTAGGATAAAATAACGAAACTTTAATACATCTAGGTCATAATGAAACTAGTAAATTGAAAAAAAAAAAATAGTCAAATTATCATTTTCAAATTTTAATTTAGGATATATTCGTAAATTAAGGTAAAATAATGAGATTTGAATGGAGATGTTCCATTTTATACATATTATTGGATGATATCTCATATATACTATAATTTTTGAAAATTTTAGTTGGATGATATCTTATACTTAGCGGTGTTCAATTGGATGGATCAAGCCAATACTATGTGATTGAGTAGATCCAAATTTATTTTGGTGTCTGAAACATAAATACGAAAAATCAATTTAAGTTTGATTTGAACCAACAAACTTTCAATTCAGTTTTTTACAATTCAGTTTTCAAGAACCGAGTAATATTAAAAAATATATAATTTAAATATTAATCACCACTATAATATTAACAAAATGTTTATTTATGACTTAAATCTATAAACAAGTACTATTAAAAATATATTATATTTTAATATTTACGAATAAAATATTTTGAGAAGAAATACATTTCGTATAATATCGTATAATCTATTTGAAAAACAATTTGGTAATCATAAACGATATATCGATACAAGATATATGTTTAAAACAAAAGACATTTGTTATTCGAGTTTTTTTTACTATTATGTTGTTATTTTATGTTATTCAATGTTAAATATTGAAAAATCAAATATCTTCGTATTTTTTGTAACTAATCTTCCTACGATTCTACTCATTAATCAAAACAAATGGTAAAATCAAGATAATAGCTTAATATCATACTAGGTGTGAGATCCGTGTATTATACGAGTTTATTAAAAATAAAAATTTAATATCAATATTTAAACATTAAATATTTTATAAAATAACACTTTTACATAACATATGTAATCTTTTGAAACATTTATAAAAGAAATCAAATATTTTTAGAGCATTTATGAGACTTTATTATCAAATTAATATAATCATTTTTTTCCTTATAAAACTCGCTAAAATTTTGTGGAATTTTATTTTTAAAAAAACATAAATTCTCAAAAAATGACAAGTGGAAAATAATAGTTTTAAAACTCTCACAAAATTACATGTGGCAAAACTATTAAGAATTTGACAAGTGGCAAAAAAAGAAAAAAAAAATCGTTTATTAAAGAGGATATCATTATTTTACATGAGTATAAAAATAAATATGAACAAAACAGAAAACATTAATTTTCTTAAATAATTTTCAAAACCAATAATGTTATATCAAACGTAAATGTGCTTTAAACCTAGACAAAACTGCACAAATGGTCTCTATGGTTAGCTGAAAATTGTTACTATTGTCCAAAAGAGTTTGGACTAGCACCAAAGGTCAAAATTTTCATTTTGTTGTGAGTTTGGTCCGATTTGTTTTGAACTTTTTTATAAAGATAATTTTGCCATTGCTTTTTGCTTTTTTTAGTTTTTTATTTATTTAAATATTTTTTTGATTAAAAGAAAAAAAAATTAAAAAGCCAAAACTCTCTCTCTTTATCTATCTATCTCTCTCTCTCTCTCTCTCTCTCTCTCTCTCTCTCTCTCTCTCTCCACCACTTTGTTTCGTTTCAAAAAAAATGAAAAAAATAAAATCTATGAACATTACATCGGAAAATCCATGAACACCACATTAGAAATCAGAAATCCATGAACACCTACTTCAGAAATCAAAACACATTTTTATAGTTACAATTTTCATAAAAATAAAATATTACCACCACCATTGAAGATTTGAACTAGATTTAGGGGAAAGAAATCGATATATTGCCTTCAAACACGAAACCACACATACACAAACATATATTGTTTCGTCTTCAGATCTTGGAGCATATATAACGAGGTAGAGAGATGGATTTTTCTGCATAATGATGATAAAATCACATTCTTCTGCATAGTTTCATCTAAATCGATCTCGAAGACGAACCACTGTTAATCTAACCCTTGTCGAATCCGCCTTTTAAAGCAATCCCTACCACCAAATACCCTTTCCTTCACCTCAGGTCTCTCCCCTTGATTTCGAGTCGTAAAACACCACATCTGAAAGCCCTAGCCGCTAAGAAACCCTAACTTCAAATTGCGATCTCCTTTCTCTTGTCTTCGGCTGTCAAGGTTCAAAGGGATTGTAGCAACGATTGAAGTGGGTGTTTAGGGTGGTGCTACTTGAACGAAGGGAGGTGGAAGGGGGCCTAGGCTGATGACAGCCGCCAGTTTCTTCCTGTTTGGATGGTGGTAAGCAAGAAATGTGTGTGAGAGAGAGAGAGAGAGAGAGAGAATGGCGATGATGAGGGCTGATCAGGGATGCAGACGACTTGCCTAATTTTTTTGTTGGAGATGGAGATGCTCTTTGATGGTATCTTCTAGCAACAACAGTGAAATACAAAGATGGAAGAGGGATGGGGAAGACGATGGGTGGGGAGAAAGAGAGAGAGAGAGAGAGAGAGAGAGAGAGAGAGAAAGAATGTATATTTTATTTATTATTTTCTTTATAAAAAATTATTAAAGTAAAATAGCAAAGACAATGTTTTTTTTCATTTAAACAGAAAAATATTTAAATAAAAAATTTAAAAAAAAAAGTAAGGGCAAAATCATCATAATGAAAAAGTTCAAAGTAAATTTGACCAAACTTGCAACAAAATAAAAATTTTGGACCTGTGCTACTAGTACAAAAAATTTTTGGACCAAAATAGCAATTTTAAGGAAACCACAAGGACCATTTGTGCAGTAACCCAAACCAATAGGATTATTTATACTTCAACCCATTAACGCAACTCACAACCATCAACCACTACCCATGTCCCTCTTCATTTTTTTCTCATTGACGTTATCGTCGTTGGAACTCAAAAAACGAAACAAAAACGAATTATTTGATATTGAAAAAAAAACGAAAACATAACAAAAATAATATAAAAGGCAATGTTTTATTATTTACTTCCACGTGATAAGATACAGATTTGGTGGATAATGTGATTTATCATTTTTCTTTAAAACTGGTTACATTACTTAATCAAGTAAGTGAGATATATAATACTTTTATTTAGTATATAAATAATAGCCTAATAGATATATTCAAGATGAAAATTTTATTATTTTAAAAAGACAAAACTGCGAATTTGGTCCTTGTGGTTTGTCAAAACCTTTGGATGGGGTCCAAAAAGTTTCTAGCTTGCACCAAAGGTCCAAAATCAAGGTTTTCATGGGTTTTTAGTCCATTCCGTCATTGTCCGTTTGTTTGGAGCCGTTAGTGCCATCACGTGCCCTCCATGTGAGGGCATTTTGGTCATTTTAGGTCCTAGCCTCCGTTGCCGCCACTTCAATTAATAAGATTGCAGACTGTACTCACTCCTTCGTCTTCTACTCATACCTCTTTGGATTCAAACGCAAAAACCCTAACGATCGTCTGCAAATTGGCTTGTGTTCATGCTTTTGAAAATGTGGGGACTTAGAAATGTTGGAGAGATTGTCAACGTTCAAGAAGTTTATGGTAAGATTCAAACTTTGAAAAAACTCTGTATTTTATGATCAAGCTTCAAACTTTGAAAAACTCTAACAATCGTCTCTTTCTGTTTTGAAGATGGTTACCCCAACATATTCTCTATTGAACTTCATCACGGAGGGAGTTTCACAAAGTTTCCAAATATCAGGTATATTAATGGCCAAGTAAGGTACTTTGATGTTGTCGACATTGATGAATTTTCTGTTCATGAACTAGAGTTGATGATGAGAGAATTAGGGTATGATGGTACTGAAATCATGTATTACCATTTCCGTTTACATAATGAAGGATTTGACTTTGGACTCCGAGCATTAGGTAACGATGATGATGTGCGTAATCTCTCACGGTATGTTACCCATAATAACAAAATGATTAAAGTGTACACAGAGCATGGTCAAACGAACTTGCTTACATATTTTATGTCCCCAACTGGTCCAAGAAGGGTTATAATAGAAGACTTGGATAATCAAGGTCCTCTTAGACCATCATCACATGTAGTTGCTCGTGAAGTGGTAACTCCAATCCAAATTGATGTTGATGAGGGTGATTTAGGGTTAACATTAACCTTATACAAATCACCAACACCTAAATTTAGTAGGTCTAAAGGTTGGAAACATAGTAAAGGGGCATCGTCTACCAGTAGAAATCTTAACTTGGATTGGGAAGGTGGTGAAAAAACAATGGCAAGTGGTGAAGTTGATAAAGGTAAGGGTGTAGAAGGATTTGCAGATGAATTTGTTGTAGTTGATGCAGAAAAAGAGTTAAACAAACAGATTGATATGAATGAAGAACTTGACATGAACAAATCCAATGGTGAGGGTGTAGAAGGATTTGCAGATGAGGGGTATAGAGTTGTCATGGATAATGATCCTCAAGGAGTCAATGAATTTTCAACTAACATCAACATAGATGATGAGTTAATGACAAACTTTCAACCTTTCGAAGGGTTTGAAGACCAAGATAGCATCCCATTTAATGGGTTTGAAGGCCAAGATAATATTCCTTTCAATGATGAGTGGAGACAAGAGGAGCCTGATGACATTGAGCTTGAGAATCAAAACAGTGAAGATGAAGATAGTGACTTTATGATTGATGAGGACAACATAATTGAAGATGTTGAGGTTGACATGGAGGATTTCAATCTAAATATTGATACAGAAGCAGAGTTCAATGGATGTCAAAGTTTGGGTGGTCAAAGAAATGAAGATAGTGATGAACAAGAGGATTTGGAGGTAATTGATAATGACGAGTGGGATTCACTAAGTGATGACTCAGGGGACAACAGGAAAAGAAGAGAAATGATCAAAGAGCTGGGGAAACAAACCTTATGTTCTGCTGGTGAGGTGCACAAGGTAGCTTTTCATATTGGGTAGAAATATAAAGCCAAGAAAGAATTGAAAGATAAAATTGACCTGCATGCTTTAGAGACACGGAGGAATATCTCATTCACAAAAAAAACAACAATAGTAGATTAACAGTTGTTTGTGATGGAACTGTAGTTTTAAATGCAAGTGGGGTAGGTGGACCTACCTTTGGGAAAAAGGTAAAGGGTAAAGATGTAAACTCAGATAAAGTTAAATGCGCATGGAAACTTCATGCATCTAGGTCAAGTGAACAGGACTATTGGTTTATTAAGACCTATAATCAGAAACACATCTGCCTCCAAACACAAAAAATCAGATCTTGCACAGCAACATTTCTTTCCAAACGTATTATGGATCAGATTGAAGCTAATCCTGGACTGCCTGTTCGTGCCTTACAAGAGCAAATCCAATCAACTTATGGAGTTAGTATTTCAGAAGAGAAAGCATTTAGGGCAAAAGCATTAGCCACCAAAAATGTTGCAGGGGATTACGTAAAGCAATATGCAGCTTTGAGAGACTATGTACTAGAGCTACAAAAGACAAATGAAGGTACAACTGTAAAGATTGATGTGGTTTCTGAACCTGTGGTTTCATCCCCAACCAGGCAATTCAGAAGGATATATGTGTGTTTAGGTCCTTTGAAGAAAGGATTTAAGGCAGGTTTGAGAGAATTTTTAGGCTTAGATGGAGCCTTCATGAAGGGACCTTTCCCAGGTCAAATACTAAGTGTAGTTGGTGTTGATTCCAACAATGGAACCTACGCATTGGCATATGTTGTTGTTGAAATTGAAAACACTTCAAGTTGGAAATGGTTTCTTCAGTGTCTTGCAGAAGATCTTGACTTGTATTCAAATTCCAACTTCACCTTTGTCAGTGATAGACAGAAGGTACTATAGTTACATTTAATATTGTATATTAGGTTCATTACAGACTAATGCTAATTACTTATTTTGTTTTGGTGAAAACAGGGTCTTCTACCAGCCATAGAACAATTGTTCCTTAATGCAGAACACAAGTTCTGTATTAGACACATATACCAGAACATGAGGATCAGATTTAAGACTAGAGAGTACAAGGAGTATTTTTGGAGGTGTGCTACAACCACCACCATACCAGAGTTTGAAGCTGTAATGGTAGAGCTAAGGAATTATGACATAGAAGCATATCAGTGGCTCTTGAAAATCCCTCCACATCATTGGGCTAGAAGTCATTTTTCAGGTATTTTCTCAATTTGTTGTCTTATTTTTTATTATAGTATAGATATACACTAACTGTTGTTTTGTTAATGAACTATTAGGAAGGGCAATTTCAGACATGTTATTGAATAACCTTTGTGAAGTGTTCAATAGCAAACTTGTTAAAGGGAGAGAAAAACCCATTATCAGTTGTTTGGAGTTCATCAGAGAGTACCTTATGAAGAGAGTATGCAATGTGATGAAGGTGTTAAACAAGTGTCAAGGTCCATTAACTCCAACTGGTACTAGGATTTTGGAAGCAAACATAACACTAGCTAGTAAGTATCATGCACGATGGAATGGGGGACAAAAGTATCAGGTTAAAGGTCCATGGAATGATCAACATGTGGTGGACATGGAAAAAAGGGAGTGTAGTTGTAGAAAGTGGTAGCTTACTAGAATTCCTTGCAAGCATGCAATTGCAAGCCTAAATGAAATGACAGACAATAATGAAAAGGTGGGAGAACTCTACACCTATGTGCATAAGGTGTATTGGCTTGATACATGGAAAGAGATGTACTCCTTCAAGGTGGAGCCTATCAAAGGTAGAGCCATGTGGCCTAAGAGTGACTGCCCAACAACTCTTGTGCCTCCACCACACAACAAATCTATAGGCAGGCCAAAAAAGAAAAGAAGGATTACAGCAGAGGAAAGGATTAAAATCCAACAACGTAAGAGGCAAGCAAACAGTCAAAGTCAAAATGATAATGAAACTCAATCACTGAGCAGGAAGTTTTTGAGTGTGACATGTAGTAAGTGTAAGCAAAAGGGTCACAATGCCAGGACCTACAAGGCCAAAGATGGGAATTGATGTTTAAGTACTTTTTATGTTTGTGAATACTTGTTAATGCACTTTAGTTGGTACTTTGTTGCCTTTTTTTGGTTCCATTTTGATAATATACTTTGATGCCCTTTTATGGAACAATGTACTCCAATGTTTTGATAATGTACTTTAATGCCCTTTGTTGGTAATGATTGTGTTTTGGCATTTATCTGTTATGGTACCCTTTTGGTAATGTTGTTTGTTATTTGTTTATGTTGTACTGGGAAATCATGAAGATATTATGGCAATGTACTTAATGTATGCATGTAAAACCATTACAATTGCATATTCAAGCGTAGAGAAAAACCATTACACTTGCATATCATGTTAAGATCAAACCTTTATAATTTCATATTCATAAAAGGATAAAACCATTACACTTCCCATTGTCATAAAAGCATTACATATACAATGATCCAAAAGACAACACTTACAACATATATAAACCCTAATTAAACCTTCTAGCACCAAAAGACAACATTTTTAAGTGGTTATTACCAGTTGTACTGTGAAATCATGAAGATGTTATGGCAATGTACTTAATGTATGCATGTAAAACCATTACAATTGCATATTCAAGCGTAGAGAAAAACCATTACACTTGCATATCATGTCAAGATCAAACCTTTATAATTTCATATTCATAAAAAGATAAAACCATTACACTTCCCATTGTTATAAAATCATTACATATACAATGATCCAAAAGACAAAACTTACAACATATATAAACCCCAATTAAACCTTCTAGCACCAAAAGACAACATTTTTAAGTGGTTATTACCAACAAAAAAACCCTAACCTCTAATTCCTATTTCCAAAATAGCACAAACAACATAAACAAAACCCACGAGACAAGCAAACACTTCTTCAGCTGACCCACTTCAACCTCATACCTATTCATTGTTCTCAACAGTCCTGGTATGATAACAATTGATCTTTGACACATAGGGGGATCGAACCACCCCAAAAATCCACATTTGGATCCCTACAAGAATACATTAAACATTAAAGTAGAAGAGTTATTGCATAACTACCGAAATATCATAACCTAATATGAGTTTGCTTACCATTTTAGGGCATGCATGGAAACGACAACCATGGTTTCGTGAGGTCCATGAGGTTTGCACAACAACAACGTTCCCACAGAAGCAGAGCACCATTTTTTAATCTCGTAGCAGTAGAAGTAGATGAGAGATTAAGAAGAAGAATCCCTTTGAGAGACGAAGAAGAAGAAGCCCTTTTTGCTGCTTCTCTGTAAATAAAAATGAAGAAGAAGAAGGGGATTGCGTATGAGTATGTATATAAAGGAGAAATATGATATTATTTAAAATAAGAACCTAAAATGACCAAAATGCCCTCACATGGAGGGCATGTGATGGCACTAACGGCTCCAAACAAACGAACAATGACGGAATGGATTAAAAACTCATGAAAACCTTGATTTTGGACCTTTGGTGCAAGCTAGAAACTTTTTGGACCCCATCCAAAGGTTTTGACAAACCACAAGGACCAAATTCGCAATTTTGTCTTTTAAAAAATAATTTTTTAGTTAAACCTGTGTGGTTATCGGATATAATTTTCATTTTTTTTTTTCTATTTCATACACACATGGACATTTATAAGTTTAAACATTAAAAATACACATAAATACAAGTTGAAAATCAATCCAAATACATTAAAAACACATAACTTTAAGTTTTATATCAATCTATATATATTAAAATTAAAATTAAGTATAATACCGAAACAAATTATAATTTTAAATGAATACAAATGCGTTAAAAAACTTTATAACATTTACCAGATGTTTTTATTCAAAGAAATCTAAATAAATATGAAGAAAAACAAATTTTGTAACGAAAATGATTCATTTCTATGTATTTTTATTTAATTTAACCGGTTCAACTGTTATAATTCAACAAGATTTTTGTAAAAATTGGTTGGTTAATTTCAGTTCAGAAATGAACATAAAATCGATGCTAATTAAACCGCTCTTTTCTCTGATTTTATGTTCAACCGGTTTGAACCGGCCTTCAACCGGTTCGACCGATCGGTTCAAACCGATTTTTAAAACATTGGAAAATTTCCCCAAATAATATTTATATTTCTCTAAACTTGTCTTCAATTTAATGTTACTTTCAAATCTTATAACAGAAAATGACTATAATAGTTAATCACATTAAGGTTTTTCCAAAAAAAATAGCAAAAAATACCAAAAAGTAGTAATGATTTTCATAAGTGGTCATCTGCCGAAATTTGGTGACTGCAAAAATTGTGTTTTTCGCCAACTTTGAACCTTAATAACTTTAAATATAAACTCTGTTTGAGTTGATTTTTTTTTCATTATGATCTTTGTAACAAAAGTTTTCCATAAACATATTACATTCCAAATTTGTATGTAAGGAGCATAATTTTTGAGCTCCAAAGTAGGCTACTCGTTAAAAAAAAATATGAAAAAAGATTTAACTTTGAACCTTCATAACTCTTTCATATATATATTTCATAGAAGCTATTTTTTTTCATTATGTTCTATGTAACAAAGGTTATCCATTGACATATTATACTACAAATTTGGATGTCGGAAAGCTATACATTTTCAACTCCAATGTAGATTATCCGATGAAAATTATGAAAAAATAACATTCGTACCTTTTGTATATAACTTCATAACAATCATCAGGCTATTTGGGTTGTCCCAATCAAAAGGGATGATCTACAAAAATCTCAAAAAAATCATAAAAAAGAAGTTTGAAGACCTCCTAGATTTTTGGTGATGGTGAATTGGAATATATATATATATATATATATATATATATATATATATATATATATATATATATATATATATATATATATATATATATATATATATATCACCTAGATTTTTACAGGTGGTGACTTGTCTAAAAAAATCAAAAATTATGGTTATTTGGAGAATTTTTCTTATTTTTGGCTTTTCATAGAAAAAATCTTTTTGATTAGCTATTATGGTCAACTTTGTTTTTAATAAACGTGTCATTAGTTTCTCAAATATATAGAAAAAATAATTTATTTAAACAAAATTATTATATATACTAATTACATTTTTATGTTTGTGACTTTATCATATGAATATTGATAGGTTTGGTTCTTATGTCTAAAATAAATTACAAAAACTATTTATGTAATTTACATAAAATGTTTATATGCTGATATTTTTTTTTACAAAAATGATCCATGTGTTTAATACATTCATATGTTGGTACTTGGTAGGATTGATCATATGTTGAAAATAAATTATAGATATTGTCGTTGTAACTTATAGAAAAGGTCCATATGGATATTATTTTTATAGAAATGGTCCACATGTTTAAAAAATTACAAAAATTGTCTATATCTAATAGAAAATTTATAAATCACGACCAGCACAAGAAAGGTGTAACATCATTGTTTTTATTACTAATAGGCACGATTCACGAAGCCATAACTTGAAATTAATATTGATGATCTAAGAAAGATGATTCGAGAATATTAAAGTATTTTTACTGACTGATTTATTTTATAGCTTAAAATTATTCATATATTGTATTCATAATAACTTTATTCACCAACATAATATGTTTTTCATGTGCTTAATTTTTTCTAATAGTGTTTTATGAATTTATCTAATTTATTTTCAATCTATAAAAAATATATTATAAAACTCTTTCATCTTATTCGTCGTTTCAAACATGCATCATAGTTTAATACGAAATGGTTTAATAAAAAAATAATAAAAAGCATTAATATTTAATTACAATTTGCTTGACTACCAATAAATAAAGTTAATACCTAGTGATATATACTTGTATACCAACATGTATGAGGTTTTTTTTGAATGATTATTTCTTTGTTAATCGGCATTGTGAAAGGTGAATATGGGTTTTATGAATAAGATTTTTGTAATTGTTGAGATTGAAAATTCTATTGAAAAGGATTTTAATAATTTTTTACCATGAGATTAAAAGTTAAAACAATGGAGAAAAATGTGACACACTAACAACGAGTTTAAAATTTAAACTTTTTTAATACGGTAAATGATAATATGAATGCTCTTAAGTCTTAATATTAAACACCAAAAATGCTAAAAAAGTGTGTGTGTATATATATATATATATATATATATATATATATATATATATATATATATATATATATATATATATATATGTTCAAGTTCATTTGAAACCATACTAATTTTTTGAAACAGTGAGACCAAATCTAAATATAATTTTAAAATGCAAAATAATTAATTATTATTTTCGAAACTTTAATTACCTTAAAAAAATAAAAATAAATGAAAAAAAATTACCGTTTTTTTCTAAAAAATACGTGAAATATTATAATAGAATATTACACTGTAAAATATTCTAATGTGATTTTTAGAATGTTAGAATATTCTACTAGATTTATCAGATATGTAGAATATGTAAAAAATGTATTTTATTTATTTATCTTTAATTTTTTGGTACTTTTTTTTGAAAATATAAATTCCGAAAATAATATTTGAAAAAAAAATTCAAAAATTTTCAATTATTTTGCATTTTAAAAATGTTTTTTTTATCTACTGAATGAGTGACTAGGATTGCATCTCACGGTCTCACAAAATTAGGCCGTCTCACTTGAACCTAACCCTATATATATATATATATATATATATATATATATATATATATATATATATATATGTGTGTGTGTGTGTGTGTGTGTGTGTGTGTGTGTGTGAAAATTGTAACATCTCGAGTCCACATATACCTCAAGAACCTTGATCTTTTGAGCTATTGTCATTTTTGGCCTTAATTATAAAAGAGTGAAAAACGAGTACGCAGGGCGTACCTTAGGGTACGCTTAGCGTACTCGTCAGCGTGCATACAATGCGGAGAGCACCTAGTATGTTGGGCGTACCCGTGGGTACGTTGCGCATACTAGGCCCAGAATGTAACCCTAATTTGGGGTGAGTCCCTTATATAAGGAACATGATGGCCTCGTTTTTGGCCACCATTGTCCAGAGAGAAAACCCTAAGTGTGCCTTTACCTCCGTTCTAGAGCTTGTGTGTGTTTGAGCTTTGTGAGGGTGTTTGTGTGGTTTTGAAGAGAAGAGAAGGCCTTGAAGAAGGAGAGTTGGAGTCCAAGCATCTAGATCTAAGCAAATCTGGGTGGGAAGCTTCTCTTTGAGGTATAAAGCTTCAGACTTTGGCTTTCTTTTCTGGAGTATGTTGTGATGAGCATTTTAGGGTTTTGTCCCATAAAGGTGGAGTCTTGATGAGATCTTGAACTCTAGAGTCTAGGACCAACCCCTTTTGAGTGTATGAGGGGTGTTATGCCATAAAAATCCAATCTTGGTTGGTGAAATCACTCCATGCATGAGTTATGAGACCCTTGGGACAAAAGAGTGTGTATTTTTGGAGAATGGAGACTTTTCAGCCATGCAAAGCCTGAAAGTCGATGACTTTATGGATTAAGAGTCATTAGAAGGTCCAGATATGAGATATGAGCTTATGTCTTAACTGATTAAGACCATGAGTATGAGAAGAGTAAAACTGGGGAGTACGATGGGCGTAATCCCCAATACGCGTCGTGTAGGAGCCGAGCACCCCATTTCTGGATAGCAGCCGAGTACACCCAGCATAGGGAGTTAGAACGCTCGGCGTACTCCCTGCTGTTGATTTTTGTTGACTTTTAGGGTTTGGTCAAGATTAAGGACTATTAAGCTTTAGAGGGGTAAAATAGTCTTTTACCCTTCTGTGAGTTGTAGAAGGGTTAGTCTAGCTTCTTGAGGGCCAATATTAATTAGGGATAATTAATATGCGTTAGGCAGGAGCTAGACCGGGGAGTAGAGATCAAGATCCCGAGTGCGAGATTTTCATTCATTAGCTTACATGGTGAGTCTTCTCACTATACTTACCTGAGTAGTAATTTTTATGTGTGACCAGAGGGTCTTATGCGCATCAACTGTGTAATGAGATATCATGCTATTTATTTGTGTTATGCATTTTGTGTATTATATTGTGATGCTGAGTTGAGGAACCGGAGGGTCCATCTGAGTTGTGGGACCGGAGGGTCCTACTGAGGCACACCGACCAGAGGATCTTATTGAGTTATAGCCTCGAGTGACTAATGTGATGTGTGTGGTATTTTGGGGAACTCACTAAGCTTTTATGCTTACCGTGTTATGTGTTATGTGTTTCAGGTAGTTCCAAGGATCGTGGCAAGGCACCGACATGATTGTACATACCGGCGGGAGATTGTCTTTATGATTCTGGGATTGTGTTTTATTTGTTGACATTTGAGACATATATGCTTTTGAGAATTACGAAACAAGTTTTATTGTATTTAAAAATGAAAAAAAATTGTTTGAGAATTTACGTCGTTACAAAAATTGAATTGGTTGGTATAGTATTAACGTGGTATTAAAAACTTTATGTTACTACCATACCATGATTACTCAATTGATATAGTACTACTAACCAAACATATTCGTTATCAAATATATTCGTTACTAACATTTTTGGTTACCAATATTTTTTGTTTCAATTGGTAAAAGGTTTGTTGGTTTTTCACGGCATATATTTTTAGCCCTACAATTATATAATATTTATTTGAATATATAAAATATATAAAAAAAAAAAAAAGTCTCACAAAAAAATTGAAAAAGTATAATAATTGTTATAAATTTATATTTTATAAATAAAATAACATTAAATATATAATACACTTAATTAATAAGTAAAGGAATAATAAATATTTAAACGTTAAATATAACTAAAAAGATATAACAAAATATATAAACCTAAAAATAATGACCGTGGTCCATGTACTATATATTAAATGATCAATAATTTTTAAGCCGATATTTAGTTAGTGGTTATAAATAATCAAATAGCAATTAGTAAAAAAGAAAAATGAAAACCATGATTTAAAAATAAAAAAAAATAAAAAAAATAAAAAAAAAAACTTTTTGTCTATAAATATTTGATAGATGTGGTCAAAGTTATCTCACAAAAGTCTACCTGTGATATTAATAATTTATACAATACTAGTGAGGCATGCAAGTTGTACACGCTACACACCCCTTTTTATACCAATGTGTCTATTAGCTTCCAATTACACACAACGTAAAGAAACTTGCAAACATACATACATACATCTCTCTCCCAACTGCCTCTCTCACTATATATATCTACATATCTCTTTGTTTTTGTCTCTATATCTCTCTATATTCTGAATTTCTGATTCTGATATGGGTTATGTTTTGACCATCGTATTTTGTTTTCCTCTCTTCTATCTCTTCTGTATTCTCCTCAACTTTCTTGAAAAAAGAAGGCATCAAAACTGTTACATACTCGATTACCAGCTCTACAAACCTTCCGATGACAGGAAACTAAGCACTGAGTTTTCCGGCGACATTATCAAGAGGAACACGAACTTGGGTCTTAACGAGTATAAGTTCCTTCTGAAAGCCATCGTAAGTTCCGGCATTGGAGAAGAAACCTACGCCCCAAAAATGATGTTTGAAGGACGTGAAGAAAACCCTACTCATGATGATGCGATCGACGAGATGGAAGAGATTTTCATAGATAGTATCGGAAAACTCCTCGAGCGTACCGGCGTTCAGCCGGATAGTATCGATGTTCTGGTGGTCAACGTCTCGATGTTGACCTGCATGCCGTCGTTATCCGCCCGAATCGTGAATCGATACAAAATGAGACATGATGTGAAAACGTACAATTTGTCCGGGATGGGGTGTAGTGCGAGTTTAATCTCGATAAATCTCGTTCAAAGTATTTTTAAGTCGAAGAGAAATCAATTGGCGATGGTGTTGACATCGGAATGTTTAACTCCGAACTGGTATTCCGGTAACGACAGGTCCATGATACTATCGAATTGCTTGTTTAGGTCAGGTGGGTGCGCCATGATCTTAACAAACAAACCGAGTCTGGTTCACAGGTCCATGTTCAAGCTCAAGGTTTTGGTTCGAACCCACCATGGTTCTAAAGATGAAGCTTATGGTTGCTGTTTACAAACCGAAGATGCTCAAGGTCGAGTCGGGTTTCACCTCGGTAAAACCCTACCAAAAACAGCCACCCGAGCCTTCGTCGATAACCTAAAAGAAATCGCACCAAAGATCCTCCCACTCCGTGAACTTCTCCGTTTCGCCGCCCTATCATTTGCCCGGAAAACTCTCCAAAACATCTTCGGAAAGTCATTCTACGCGACTCGACCCATGATCAACTTCAAAACCGGCATAGACCATTTCTGTCTGCACACCGGAGGTAAAGCCGTGATCGACGCCGTCGCTCAGAGCCTGAACCTCAGCCAATTTGACATAGAACCAGCACGTATGACACTCCACCGGTTCGGAAACACGTCGGCGAGTAGTCTCTGGTATGTTCTCGGCTACATGGAGACGAAGAAGAGGCTGAAGAAAGGTGATAAACTGTTCATGATCAGTTTCGGAGCCGGGTTCAAGTGCAACAGTTGCTTATGGGAAGTGGTGCGAGATCTTGAAGGTGAAGGGAATGTATGGAAAGACTGTAACATCGAAAGCTACCCACCGCTGACCTTAGAGAACCCTTTCATGGCGAAATACGGTTGGCTTCACGACGTCGACGACATCTCAACGCTCAACATTCAAGAATGAAAACGAAAGAAAAAAAAAAAAGTAAAAAGAAAAAGGTCAATTTTTATTTCCATTAAAATGATTGTTTTATTTATAGCAATAATAGTTAAATGTTTTCATGTTTATAGTAGTTGAGTTGTGTGTGTATTTATTTTGGTTGTTGTGCGTTTTCTATTTTACAATGGAATAGCGACACAAAAAATGCTTTTTTTTTCTATTACAAAAGACCCGAAAACCATACGTTATATGCATTTATGAATTCACTCAATAAAACAAAGTAGATGTTCTAGATAAACTCGGATGTTGCTTTTTTTTTTTTTTTTTTTTTTTAAATCTGATGTGTACTTACCGAAAACAATACTTTAAAAGAAAATATTGAAGTATTTATAATTTGTATTATGTAAGATTTAGGTTAGTGATATTAAATTTTATTTTTACAATAATTTTTTTTTTTTTTGTATAAAGTAAAAGGGGGAGAGGATATAGGAGAACAAGTATACAGCTGTGGACATTTATTTCCTGTATAAATCTATTTTTATATCGATATTAATATTGCTTTAATGGGTTGTACTTTATTTTAATAATACGTATCTATAAAGAAAAAAAAAATCAAACAATCGCTCATGTGTTGTAGACAGTGGAGTAGTTGGGGCCTTCCTTCACCAAAAGAACAACTCATCAATGCACACTTAAATTTGACCCAAAAATACAATACACCTCAAACTTGTATAGTCGGTTTATTATTACCATTAATGGCAAATTCACTAATAATTTTCTTTAATTATTATAAACAAGTTTTGACTAATGTTACAAACAAGTCTTAAATTTTATGTAATAGTAATTCAAACTTGATTGTGCCAAACTTTATGGTATATAATTAATAATTAAACTCTGAAGGTGTAACACCTAGAATTTACATATATAGCGTTTTAAACCCTTAACAAGTATTAGTAACCAAAAATAGGTGACTGTATTAGAGGCTTAATGACCAAAAATAATGGTCACTGTGGGAGGTTTAATGATGGAAAATAGTGGCCTAATGACAAAAAAAATGGTCATTACCGTAGAGATTTAGGGATCAAAAGTATAGGTTAATCTCTTTGGATCGAATTCGAATAAATTTTGCTTTATTGTTTTAACAGGTATTTTTGAACTATTTAAGTTTCAGAGTTCGAATTTACTTATCAAACATATTTCTATTGGAAGTTTTCAACTTATTTAAGTTCTCAACTGAAAGTACTTGGTGAACATGCCATGGAGTTGACTTGGAGTTTTGATTTGACTGGTTCAGCTGTACTAAAGCAAAAAAGTTCTATGACAATAAATATTAAGATCAGAATAGCTATAAATATATATTATATTTTGTGTCATTTATGTTTATTAAGCATTCATCAATAATACATGATGCAACATGCCATTTATTTTTGTATGTGGGGTGCAAATACAAGAGGATGATGGAACACATATAAGTCTTACCAGATTGGAAACTTTGATGTATGTCATGACAATCTTTTATAAATAAGTGTTCAACTTGTTGATTAAAATATATTTGTGTAAATGTAAACTATGTGTATGTATTATGTTGAATGGTCGAATACTATGACATGCCTCAATTATGTCAGGTTTAAATGTTGAATGATCCATACACCAATTCCAACTTCTGACAATACTTTTTTTGTATAACGATTCTCTCTCGATCAATAACTTCCATTTCTTGAAGCTCAATTGCCCTCTGTTGTTTCTAGCATATAAACTAATACAATGCCATTTTGAGGAGTTGGATTCAAATTTTGAATTTCATAAGAAATTCGTTCAATCTCAATTTGATGATTTGCGAGTTGATATGAAAATTTGGAATAACGCCATCTATATTCAATACGATTAACATTATTCCTCATATACTATGTTTCTTAGAACATGTGATAAGTTGAATATTGCTATTGGAACCGTTCTTATGGATATCTATCATTAATCCATCTCTCTGTTAGCTAGTTGTATTTGTGCAGACATAGATCATGTTATCAATTCTCAACCATAAGTTGTAGTATCACCATCTACTTAGTTTCATGAAGATCCCATTAAATTAATTTGATACTATCATAAGTAGGGTTATAAATGAACCGAACGAACACGAACGAATGATTGTTCATGTTTGTTCATTTAAGTTAGCCGAACAAACGAAGGAACACTAATGGGTAGACGAACGAGTTTTCTTGTTCATGTTTGTTCATTGAATAAATTACATTGTTTATATTCGTTCATTTATGTTCGTGAACATGTTAAACGAACGAACATAAATAAACGGAGATGAATAAACATAATTGAATATATAAGAATATAAACAAACATATAATACAGTAATGTAATCAAACAAAACTGAACATTTACGAACATAAAAAGAACTTAAATTAATGAACATAAAAAAATATAACCAAACGTTCACAAACATAATTTGTAATGCCCATAGATTCGGGCTAATCAGTTAAGATATAATAAGGTTTAGAAAAATAACTTTTTGATAGAAGATTATTTAGGATAAATAATCTTAAACAAAGTTATAATATATGTGCAAGGATTTCGTACATATAAAAAAACTCTAAAATCCGACTTCCTATGAAGAAGTTATGTTTTTTCGAAGTTTCACGATTAAACCGACACGACTCTGCGTATCGTGAAAAATAGATTTTTGATAAAGTAGTTTTTAGCCTAAGTATATAAATGAAAGTCGTAATAGTCATTAAACTGAGAGTATGCATATAGACAACGTCCAAATCTGACTTCGTGAGAAGAAATTATAATTTTTTGAAGTTTCAGTGCAACAGTTTGGGCATAGAAAGTAAAATTGAAGTCGGTCGATTGTTAGGAAAAATAATCTAAACAATAGTTGAAGATGTTGTCAAGTAACATCCAAAAAATAATGATAAAATTTTTCATTTTAAAGTCATTAATTCCATACATCAGATGTCTTAAAGTCAACCACAATACAATGTATCAAAATCATCAGAGTAGAAATAATCATAAGTGTGGAATCATTAGGGGGTGTTGTGTCATCACGTCAGGCTCTTTCCTTTCGTACTGGAAGTACCTGAAACCATAAACATAAACTGTAAAATCTTAGTGAGTTCCTCGAAGTACCATATATCATACATACAATTGGGCCCAACCCTAGGGTGTATTCCAACCCAACATTCACTCATGGGCCTAGCCCTGGGGTATGTTTCAACCTAATCATACATACATGGGCCTAACCCAATCATACATGCAAGAGTCACAAAGACAGCTAGCATCCTACATAACATAATCCAGTGGGTCGGTATTGGTGCATTCGACCCACAAGTACGTTGAGAAGGCTCACCTTTTAGACAAGGATCAACTACTACTGCTCTCACTGTCAAAACACTACTGTT